TCCCCAACTATTTTTCCCCTTCTTTTCCCCCATGGTCCTCCATTAAGTTCCTCCTAATTGACCTATATGTGCAAACATATGGTATCTGTCCTTCTCTGCCTGACTTATTTCGCTCAGCATAACACCCTCAGGTTCCATCCATGTTGTGACACATGGCCAGATTTCATTCCTTGTCATTGCCATGTAGTATTCCATTGTATAAGTGAACCACATCTTCTTGATCCATTTGTCAGTTGATGGATACTTGGGCTCTTTCCATGTTTTGGCTATTGCTGAGAGTGCTGCTATGAACATTATTGGGGTACATGTGCCCCTATGCATCAGCACTCCTGTATCCCTTGTATCTAGCAGTGCTATTGCTGGGTCATAGGGGAGTTCTACTGTTAATTTTTTGAGGAACCTCCATACTGTTTTCCAGAGGGGCTGCACCAGTTTGCATTCCCACCAACAGTGTAGGAGGGTACCCATTTCTCCACATCCTCGCCAGCATCTAGAGTCTCCAGATTTGTTCATTTTAGCCACTCTGACTGGCATGAGCTGGTATCTCAGTGTGGTTTTAATTTGTATTTCCCTGATGATGAGGGATGCTGAACATCATTTCATGGGTCTGTTGGCCATCTGGATGTCCTCTTTAGAGAAGTGTCTGTTCATGTCTTCTGCCCATTTCTTCACAGGATTATTTGTTTTTCGGGTGTGGAGTGGGTGAGTTCCTTACAGATTTTGGATACTAGCCCTTTATCTGATATATCATTTACAACTGTCTTCTCCCATTCCGTCAGTTGCCTATTAGTCTTATGGATTGTTTCCTTCCTTTGCCATGCAGAAGCTTTTCATCTTAATGAGGTCCCAATTAGTTCCTTTTTGCTCTTGATTCCCTTGCCTTTGGGGATGTGTCAAGTAAGAAATTGCTACGGTTGAGGTCAAGGAGGTTGTTTCCTGCTTTCTCCTCTAGGATTTTCATGGTTTCCTGTCTCACATTCAGGTCCCTTATCCATTCTGAGTTTATTTTTGTGTATGCTCTGAGAAAACGATCTAGTTTCATTCTTCTGCATGTTGCTGTCTCCAGTTCTCCTAGCACCATCTGTTAAAGAGGCTGTCTTTTTTCCATTGGATACTCTTTTTTTTTTTTTTTTAAATGTTTTATTTCTAGGAGAGAGAGAGAGAGACAGCGTGAGCAGGGGAGGGTCAGAGAGAGAGGGAGTCACAGGCTCTGAAACAGGCTCCAGGCTCTGAGCTGGCAGTCAGCACAGAGCCCGACGCGGGGCTCGAACCCACGAACCGCGAGATCATGACCTAAGTGAAAGTCGGACTAAGCCACCCAGGCGCCCCTCCATTGGATACTCTTCTCTGCTTTGTCAAAGACTAATAGGCCATACATTTGTGGGTCCAATTCTGAGTTCTCTATTCTATTCCATTGGTCAATGTGTGTCTGTTTTTGTGCCAATACCATACTCTCTTGATGATGACAGTTTTGTAGTAGAGGCTAAAGTCTGGGATGGTGATGCCTCCCATTTTGGTTTTCTTCTTCAATATCATTTTGGTTATTTGGGGTCTTTTGTGGTTCCATACAAATTTTAGAATAGGTTGTTCTAGTTTTGAGAAGAATGCTGGTGCAATTTTGATTGGGATTGCATTGAATGTGTAGATTGTTTTGGGTAGTCATGACATTTTAACAATATTTATTCTTCCGACCCATGAGCATGGAATGTTTTTCCATTTCTTTGTGTCTTCTTCAATTTCCTTCATAAGTTTTCTATAGTTTTCATCATACAGATCTCCTATATCTTTGGTTAGGTTTATTCTTAGGTATTTTATGGTTTTTGGTACAACTGTGAATGGGATCAGTTTCTTGATTTCTCTGTTGCTTCATTGTTGGTGTATAAAAATGCAACTGATTTCTATATGTTGATTTTGTACCTGCAACTTTGCTGAATTCATGGATCAGTTCTAGTAGGCTTCTGGGGGAGTCTGTCGGGTTTTCTGTGTAGAATATCCTGTCGTCTGCGAAAAGCGAAAGTTTTGACTTCTTCTTTGCCAATTGTGATGCCTTTTTTCCTTTTGTTGTCTAATGGCTGACGCTAGGACTTTCAGCACTATGTTAAACTTTAACAGTGGTGAGAGTGGACATCCCTGTCGTGTTCCTGATCTCAGGGGGAAAGCTCTCAGTTTTTCCCCATTGAGGATGATGTTAGCTGATAGCGTCTCATAGATGGCTTTTATGATGTTTAAGTTTGTTCCTTCTATCCCGATTTTCTCGAGTGTCTTTATTAAGAAGGGATGCTGTATTTTGTCAAATGCTTTTTCTGCATCTATCGACAGGATCATATGGTTTTTATCTTTTCTTTTAAAGAAAGGGAAATTTAACACAAACACACATGCAGGGAGAACACCATGTGAACACAAATACTGCTGTCTACAAACCAAGCAGAGAGGCCCTTCCCTCACAGACCTCACAGACATCCTTTCCTCACACACATCCTTCCCTTAGAGACATCCTTTCCTCACAGACCTCCCTCATAGACCTCCTTCCCTCACACAAACTTCCCTCACACATATCCTTTCCTCACACATCCTTCCTCACACACATCCTTCCCTCACACACATCATTCCCCTCCACACATCCTTCCCTCACACACATCATTCCCTCACACACATCCTTCCCCCACACACATCATTCCCTCCCACGCATCCCTCCCTCCCACGCATCCCTCCCTCCCACACAAACTTCCCTCCCACACATCCTTCCCTCCCACACCTCCTTCCCTCACAAACAAACTTCCCTCCCACACATCCTTCCCTCCCACACTTCCTTCCCTCACACACAAACTTCCCTCAGAGACATCCTTCCCTCCCACACAAACTTCCCTCCCACACATCCTTCCCTCACACACATCCCTTCCTCACACACAAACTTCCTTCGCAGGCATCCTTTCCTCACATACAACCTTCACTGACACACACCCCTCCCTCACACACATCCCTCCCTCACACACAACCTTCCCTCACATGCGTCCTTCCCTGACACACGATCTTCCCTCACACGCATCCTTCCCTCACACGCATCCTTCCCTCACACATGTCCTTTCCTCACAGACTCTGATGGCACCAACGATACCAACCCCTCAGTCTAGAACTCCTAGCCTCCAGAACTGTGAGGTCATAAATTTGCATTATTTAAGCCACCCAGTTTGTGGTGCTTTGTTATGGCAGCCTGACCAAGCTAATATATTACCATGCAGCAACTGGAGAAGAATCAAATCATACCATCACGACAGACAGAATTCTCAGAATAGCACCTCAAATGTCAATGCATGGCCAACGTGCTTTAAGATTCTGACAAAAGCCACCTTCAGGTAGACATGAACATTTTTCATGTTGTACACTTAAATCAAGAGTTTAAGGACATCTGGAAGCCTCAGTCTATAGTGAATGCAACTCTTGATCACAGAGTTGTAAGTCTGAGCCCCACATTGGGTGCAGAGATTACTTAAAAATACAAAATCTTTGGGGTGCCTGGGTGGCTCAGTTGGTTAAGCGTCCGACTTCAGCTCAGGTCATGATCCCACAGTTTGTGGGTTCGAGTCCCGCATCAGGCTTTGTGCTGACAACTCAGAGCCTGGAGCCTGCTTCAGATTCTGTGTTTCCCTCTCTCTCTCACCCTCCACTGCTCATGCTGTCTCTGTGTCTCTCTCTCTCAAAAAGGAATAAAAAACACTAAAAAAAAATAGAAAATCTTAAAAAAAAAAAAAAAGACTTTAATCCTCTCCTTCAACCCCCTCTAAAGATGCATGAACTCTCTTTAATCACTGGTATCTATATGGGGGGGGGGGGGAGACATATCATACACTAATCATTTTAATTAGAAAATTACATGCTATCAGACCTACCTCCGAATAAGAAGGAAAACATAATGATAATAATGAAACTTCCTTCTATGCTCTTAAAGAGATTTACTGCCCAGTATTGTCTTTTCAAAAAGGTAAATACTTTTTGAAATGTATATAAGTATATAATTACATCTGAAAATATGTAAAACTTTATCACATACCACATTATAACCTAAAAGAATAGAGTCTAATACAATGATTAGATGAGCAAAATTTTTCATAGGTAGGCTATGATTTAAATTCTTCTTAAAAATATAGACCTAGTCAAAAAGACAAAGTATTTGCCTTGTTTCTTTAATTTGTCTAAACAACTTCACCTTTAGTAGCTGACAATAACACAGGATGTCAGAAATCTAAGATCAGAAGATTTAAAAATGGAAATTCAACCATTTTATGTGAGCATTATCAATCATTCACAGCATCCTGCCAGTCAAGAAAAGGTTATCCTATAAACATAAGCTAAAATGACATGATCTGGTCAATAAAAAGACAATTCCAATATCTAATTATGAAGATTCAAAACCTTTTACTTTCTTTCCCCAGCTAATTAGTTCTCAGCAGAAAGCGCAACGGGAAGATATATAGTTAATACACAGAGTCTAAGAACAATTTGAAAAACATTAACCCCCATTTAAATAGAAAAGAAAATGAATATTAGATTTTTGCTCTTTCAAAATGTGCTCATCTAATTAATTCAGTCTAGAAAAGCCATGCACAGAAGGTTGTATTTTATCTTGTAAAAGTGTATTTAAGTGAATTTAAGGACAAAATCACTTTTCCATATATATTATACAGAAATTATTATAACTGTAAAAAGCAGGCAGTGTAGGTGGTGAAAAGTGTCTGGACTGACAATCAGAAGAAATGGGCTTGATTTCTCATTTCCAGTACTAACTACACATGTGATGTTAGGTAAGATCATTCAACCTCTTTGGACCTTGGCTTCTCTAAGTGACTTCTAAGTTATCTGTCACTTCTCAAAATAATTGTAAACACTGTAAATCTTAAAATCTGAAATATGTCATCAGAATTCCTGATAGATCTTTACATACTTTCTGTGATCAATATGAATCCATCAGATATTTATTGAAGAAAAAGAGTGATCTTTCTCACCTGACAGCTTATTGTCATGTAGCAAATTCCGAAGCTTACTACAAAGCTGGATCATGCTGTCCAACTGTCTGTTTATCTTCACATCTTGGATCCAGGCTGGGGTGTAACACACTGGACATCCGGTTCCAATACAGTCACTTACACAATTACTTTAAAAAGATTAAAAAATATATATATATATATCAATGCATTCAGCAGAATTTGAATTCCAAAAAATAAACATAGACAGAGTTTCAACAGAAGTAATGGGCAAACATATAATATCTGTTAAAATGATGTTTTTGAAAGAGTATGATACACATACATACAAAATCCATATCTAAAGTTGCTCAGGTAATTTGATATGAAGAGATTTTACTTAGTTAGACATTAATCTGAATAATTTTTTCATGCAAATATATCTATAGCTTCTAAGGGGTAAGAGTACAGAGAAGGACATAAACAAACATATTTAGTACCAAATGTATAACAGCCATGCATGTCAACCATTTCTATCCTAAATCTTAACACTATGCTTCATGGCAAATTATTGCAAAGAGATTGGGAAAGGTATTTTTTGTTTTGTTTGCAGACAAGTGTCTAAAGGCTTTAAAGTAGTTTCTGAGAAAAGATATTTGATTCTTTCAGACATTTTTATAACCTGTAGACTCAATTAAATTATCTCATGTTATCTGTCTAGAAGTTAAAGTCTCACAGGGGGATTTTCTTAACTATAGGGATTACAAACCCTTTGCAAATCTGAAGATATACCTAAGCTTTTGTAAAAAAGAAAAAAAGGGGGTCACAATTCACCTCCAAATCTTATCTGTGGATTCAGAAATAAGAAACCTAACACTCCACTCTTTCCTTAGCTCCAAGACTGGGTAACCTAACCGATAAAAGCCACATCTCCCCCAAATACCACATTCCTTTTCACGTGACCCACTCATTTGTAGGCACAAAGGATTCTTATAATATGAGCTCCTTCCAGAAAAAGCCTGTGGTGGTTCTATTCTTTGTATTCTAGATTCTGGCATCATTTCTGATGCAAAGTAACTCAATAAATGTTATAAAACAAATCTGTAATCTATGCTGAGGCTAAGATAGAGCCTCCAGATCACTGGATTCAATAAATGTCAAATTTCTTTAGCAAAGAAAGGAAATTCTTTGAGTTTCTTTGCTTGTAGTTAAGAACCCTTAACTTAAAACTCCAACATAGAAAATAGGGAAACTGATCGTACAGGAGGATGAAATCATCAAATGTTATGTAATATTTAAGTACTTGAGGAACACCAGTGACAAGAGTCACAATTCACTCCTCAAGAATCATTACCTTATTTTCAGATAAAGAAAATGAGATCCAATTAGGTGAGACACTTACCCAGCACCACACCGGTACTCAGTCTATTTTATGCATTCTATAATGTTCATCTTGTAATTGTTCTCAAATTATTTTGTAAACATTAATCTAGAATTCTGGGGAAAGATGTCATTTCTCAATAGATCTGTATAACTCAGTAAGCCAGTATTTTCCAAATGATCAATGGATTAGGTCATAAAATCATGCTGGGTGAAAGATCCATTCACAGCATAGGATAATTCAATGAATTTAGTGGAACAGAATACAAAAAGTTCATTGGAATCCTTTTAGAGTCCACACTGTTACAAATCTAAAGAAACCAGCACTTTCTAAGTAATGGTGTAGTATCAAAGAAGAATATCCATAATTATCTAAAAAGACTATTTAAAAATCCTTTTTTCCAACTATGCATATGTATAATACAAGATATTCCTCACATACTGCAATCAAAACAACAGATCACAACAGAATGATTACATAAGCAGATACGAGAATCTACAGTCTTCTGTTCAGCAAAACAATAAAGAGATTTGCACAAATATAACACAGTATCAGTCTCCTCATTAGTTTTTCTTTGGCTTATAAAATGGTTATTTTTTTCTTAAAATAGTGTTGCTTATATACTATGTAATGAATTTATTATTGTTATTTTTAAGTGAATAGTATTTTTTAAATATCTCAATTTTACATGTTAAATACACACATACAAGCAAAACTGCTTTGGGATCCTCAATTTTTAAAGGTCAAAAAGTCTGCATATGTCTGCCCTATATTTTAAATGATTTCTATCTTAAAGAGAATACATGGACTCCTTTTATAAGAATTGGCATGAAAGTATCCTGTATCTACCACAACACTGTCAGTGACATAAAAATCTGTGCCCCTTCCACCAGTACCCCTCCACTTCGATGCTTCAACTAGACTGGTATATATCAAACCACCTTTTCAAACTGCATGGTATTTATGGGGTGCCTGGTTAAGCGTCCAACTTCGGCTCAGGTCATGATCTCACGGTTTCACGAGTTTGAGACCCACGTTGGGCTCTGTGCGGACAGCTCAGAGCCTGGAGCCTGCTTCGGATTCTGTGTTTCCCTCTCTCTCTGCTCCTCTCACACTCACACACTGTTTCTCTCTCTCAAAAATAAACATTAAAAAAATTTTTTTAACTGCAAAAGGGCGCCTGGGTGGCTGAGTCAGTTAAGTGTCCAATTTCAGCTCAAGTCATGATCTCACGGTTCACAAGTTCAAGTCCTGCATTGGGTTCTGTGCTGACAGCTCAGAGCCTGGAGCCTGCTTCAGATTCTGTATTTCCCTCTCTCTCTGCTCCTCCCCCACTCATGCTCTCTCTCTCAAAAATAAATAAACATTAAAAAAAATCTTCATGGTATTTACAACATTGCTCAGCAGTTTGACACAGCTTCAAATCTGCAAAGAATACAGTTACCCAATTCTTGGCATAACATAATCAAAATGAACCAAAACTGCACTGAATGTATTCTTTCCTATGTTCATGTCATATAACAGATGACCATTTTCTCTTTTGAGATGTTCTCATGTGTATCTTGATTTTTTGTTGTCCATTTTAAATCACAAACCCTTTTAGAACCCACTTAAAGATACAGATCTCTACCAATCACATACATACTTACACACACACACACACACACACACACACACACACACTTTACATACAATTTCATCGTGTTTGTTCTGTTCCAGCAGCTTTGTCACTGTTCTATTACATACAGCGAGTACATGAGCTGAAACAAAATAAATCTGCTTACTACTGAGTAAGGACAGGAAGTGGACATATTTCATAAGGGGATCACGAGAGGTCTTTTGGAGGTGGTGGTATATGACCTGAAATGTAACTGATGAAAAGTTGGCCTCACAAAAATTTGGTAGTACATTCTAGGAGGAGGAAATAGCAAAAGTTCTGAGGCAGGAATGAGTTTGGTGTGTTTAATGAACTAAAAGGAGAAGGCAGCTAGACAGTGTGAGCTAGCAGGAAGTGTGGCTGGAGAGACAGGCAGGAAGCGGGTCCTATACAAGGTCTTCCAGACCTTATAGTGAAGCGTTTGGATTTTATTCCAACTGCAAAAGACGCCACTAGAGGACTTTAAGGAGGGTAATGATATGGATGTGATTTACATTTTTCAAAGATCACTATGAAGAAATGTAGAAAATGGGGAAGGGGTGCAGTTATGAACTTACACCAGTCTGAGAGATACGATGGTGGCTTGGATCAAATAAACCCTAGTAAATATAGAGAAGAGTGGGAAAATTCAAGATTCAAGGTACATTGTGAGGTGGAACTGACAGAGCTTAATGACGTGACAAGGAAGAAAAGAGCAGTTGGGTATTACTTGTGGGTTTTGCCTTGAGCAGCTGTGTGATCGACAGTCCGCTCTACTGCCATGAAGATGCCCGAGATGGTCACAGAAGACGGGAGGATGACTGACAGACGTGCTCTGCCCATGTGAAGTCCTGATCATCCTCCAAACAGAGAGATCAGGTGGGCAACATGTACTTTCCCTATCCCACCTTCCAGCTGGATATGCCCCATATATCAAACTCAAGTTCCCAGAAGGAAAACGGGGACCCCAGGCATAGTTGCTTCCCACACATTGGCCCACAGCAGCCACACAGCAAGTTCTTTTCATGTGTGCTTAAACTTCATGCTGAAGTCGTTCATGTCAGATAGTCACACAGTCATCACTGAAGTCATTAAAAAACTGACTCAAAGGAGGCTATCTGGACCTTGTCTCACACACAGTTAAACCAAGACATTCAGCTCTTTAATTGATTTCTCCAGAATAAGAAATAGAATGAGATGAAGATCTAGTATTCTAATCTATATGCCAGGCTTTCATACTATAACACGGACATAATTCCATAGTAACTGTTACGGCTTGAACTGTGTCCCCCAAAAAGATGTTGAAGTCTTAACCCCCAGTAGCTAAGATGTGATCTTATTTGGAAACAGGGTCTTTCGCAAGATCAAATTAACATGAGATCACTGAGGTGAGCCTCACTCCAAGAGAGCTAGCATTCTTACAAAGAGGTTTGGACACAGAGACAAACATGAACATAGACAGAACACCGTGTGAACATGAAGGTTAAAATCAGTGATAGACCTACAATCCAAGGAAGGACAAAGAGTGCCAGAAGACAAAGGTTCTCTACCTACCAGAAGGTAGGACAGTCATGGAAAAGGATTTTCCTCACAGCCCTCAGAAGCAACCACCCTGCTGACACCTTGCTCTTGGACTTCTAGCCTCCAGAACTGTTAGACAATACATTTCTGTCATCCTAAACCACTCAGTCTTTGATACTTCGTTACGGGAGCCCCAGAAAATTAATCCAATAACTGTAAAAGCAAGATTTTCGAAGATCTAGACTCAAAACTAACCAGAAGGAAAAAAAGAGCCGTATTTCAATTACATAACAGATTTTTCTCCCGAAGCTTAGCAGAGCTACTTACTAAGCTCTTCAACTTTGAACAAGTCATCGCCTTTGAGCTTTGATGCTATTTTTAAATTAAGACAGTTTTAAGTATCAAAATGAGACAATGTACAGTAAGTTCTTTGTAGTCTCTGAGAGTTACCCAAACATAACATACAACATATTATTAATGTGATTAAATGAGGATGACCTAGGAAAAAAATATAGTCACACTATGTATCAAGCTGTAATTACTTACCTACAGAATATGTGCTCACATCCCCCTAAACACACAGGCTCCCTCAGAATATTAGTGCTGAAAGGAAAACAATCAAGACTTAGGTCATTGTTAGACAAACATTTATTACCCAACATTTCTTAAATCCAAGGCCAACACTATCATATTTCTCTTTCCAAAGCAGAAGATACTAAAGATGTATTTATTTGAAAGGCTGTTATTCCCTGATTAAACATTGTATCATCACAAATCTAAATTCAAATAGTTACTACCAAACTCAGTACAAACTATAACATTTTTTATAAGGCATATAGTGGGAATTCAGAAAGAAGCAATTTTGTTTAAGTATCTCTATTCCTCTTATAGAGGTTGGTAAAACCAATCACTGACTGCTTCTTTCAACTACTAAGATACATCTTCACTTAATAATTCAAAGTATAGGGGCGCCTGGGTGGCTTAGTCGGTTAAGCGTCCGACTTTCGCTTAGGTCATGATCTCGCGGTTCGTGGGTTCGGGCCCCGCGTCAGGCTCTGTGCTGACTGCCAGCTCAGAGCCTGGAGCCTGTTTCAGTCTGTGACTCCCTCTCTCTCTGACCCTCCCCTGCTCACGCTGTCTCTCTCTCTCCTAGAAATAAATAAAACATTAAAAAAAAAATTTTTTTTTAAAATAATTCAAAGTATAGACCATAAATTTCAAAATAAGGTCTGAAAGGTAGAATGACCATATAATAAATTGTCCAAATGAGAACATTTCTGGCAGTGATGGGGCATAACAATTAAATAGGACACAGGACAGCAGGTGTAAAGCAGGACTGACCCAAGAAAATCAGAACATCTGACCACCTTGACCGTAAGAATTCATGGTTTCCCACAGGAATACATTGGTTACTGGCTATTGTTAAGAGGCCATTTATTTTTCTAGATGCCTTGTCAAAAATACAGCCATTCTTTCAGTTCACAATTAATTGTTTTGTTCTTTAAGCAACTGCAAATAGGAATCATCAGATTGACATTCTACAGATTGAGTGTGACTCATGGCATTGGGGAAAGAGAGACAAACAATTATTGTCCATCAAAATACCTGCTACATTTGATAATCCTCAGAAACTTTACAGTACATACTTATTAATAAACACATCAAGTCATTATATTCAGAGGGTGTAGTGCAGCAAGAGCAAACAGGAGAAAATAAAGCTTTTGAAGGATGAATATTTTTTAATGCTTGGTTTATTACACTAACCTTAGGACCTTTAGGTATTTACAGCATTATAATCCAATTACCTCTGTATATACACCACATAACAATAAAAACAGTTTTCCACATTTCTTGAAAGATCAAAAGTATCAAACTGCACATTTAATAGATGTGAACATTAAAGTGAAATTGAGCTTTCAGAAAGAATGCTAAAAACAGAGTACACACCTACAATGTTATCCTCAAGATATCAAAAATGGTGCTCACTGACATTATAAAACCCATTACTTTTTAAAAACTCGCAATGTCTGATTTTTTTATCCCACTACACAGATCATAGTGTTAAAAACATGACTTCTGAAGTGCCAGCCACTTTTGTGACTCTGGCAATGAAGGTGATCTCTGCTACAACGATCACACTCCTCCTATAATTTTTGCTCACTATTTCACCTACCAAATCTAATCACTCCTCTCCTAATCAAGTGTGGTGAATTCTACTTCATTACAAGTTCCATAAGAAGATCTCAGAAATGATGCATCTCACTTCATCCTATCATTATACACTCCCTATATTATTTTATTCCATCACTCTGATGAAACCTCCACCTTCAAGTTGCTCTCCACCTTGAGAGAACTCCATTCAGCTCATTAGCTCCTTGGATTCCTAGGCCACCATTACTACTTCACAAGACCTCTTCACCACCACCCTATTTTCACTGACCTTTTAGACACTCACAAATGCCAATGCCAGATAGGCCCCACAGTCCACTCCTTCCTCACATCCTCTCAGGGGATGAATGACAATTATCAAAAGACAGAAATGTACACCTGTCTCTATAAATTCAGTTGGTAGTTTCTTCACCTTTGTATCTCTACCAAAGTGGTATATTAGACTTTCAGTAAATAAACAAATGAATAGATGGCTATTCAAAACAGTCTCCACGCTCCTAAATCCCATTAACCTGATTGCGATCTTTTCACCACCTAGACCTAGTCCGACCTCTTCACCCACAATCTTGTCCCTCCCTCTGGGCTCAGAGGGAAAGATGTTCTGCAGTCATTCTTCCTTCTTAAAATGTGCTGCTCCTCCTAGATCCCTAGTATCTAGTCCCTAGATCTAGTATCTTCCCTGTCTCCTAAAGTGGTTGATTCTCATCATTATATTCACCAAAATTTCTTCCTCTATCTGCAACTAAACATGCACAGGTACTGTCTCCTCCACCCTAAAAAACAGCACCTTCTTTGGATCCTGCCTCGCTCTACCTTCAACCCCAGCTCTTCCCCTTCCTGCAGATATAAGGTCCTCAGTAAATGCTCTACACTTTTCACTACATACATCTCCTTCTCTCCCTAGCTTGAACTCCCAACTCTGCTGAAACTGTTCTCCAAAGCATTTTTAGGCCTCGTTTTCCCAGACTTCTCTGTGAGGTAACATTGACCTCACCTTCTTTCCTGAAACCTTTCCTTCTGTTGAGTTTTCATTTTCTTATAGCACATTTATCTGCCTATTTCAGCATTCCATTAGCTGCTTCTTTTCCTGTCTCTCAATTGTAGGCTTACCCCAAGGATGCAGTTCACGGTCTTCTGGCTTTCTACGGCAGTAGTCAACTCAATGCCTTGTTTTTATTTCTACACTTAAATTTCCTTTCTATGATGACTCTGAACCTGTTATCTATGGTTCTGACCCTTCACCCTAGCAATGAGATGCTACAGAGTGATTAGCAATGAACCTAGTATATATGAATAACTGATCAATTGTACTAATTATTCTAATTTGTGAGCTAAAATATATTTTTTGTTGCTGTTAACAGATGAGGAAGGACACTGGAAGACTGACGGAGAAGTATGTGCATGTGCAGAAAAGTATGTACACGTGTTTAGTGGAAGGAGCAGGGAGAAGGGTGTTATACCCAAGAGTGGGAGGAAGAGGTGTGGTGTCAAGTTCAAAAAATTGTTAATGAAGAGCTTAAAGAGCAGATAAAGAGTGGCAATGATCTCTGTCAAAGCTAGGCTTTCAGACAATGTCTAGAGCTTAGCAGAGAAGTACTCTGGAAGAAAACAATTTTTATTACAACCAGACAATAACTATCAAAATTTTAAATGCACCCACTTTGAATTCAACTATTCCCGTGTCAGGAATTTATCTGTCAGAGATATTCAGATGCTTGCAAAACTGAAACTCTAAAATACCAAAGATGTCTATCTAGACAGGATAATAAAGAGATTCCAGAGATTAAGAATTAAAACTAAAATGTCGTGTTTTTAGTTTTAATTCTTATGTGTATGTATGTATATGTATGCATATACACACATATATACAGATATACATTTATGTATTTTTTTAAGGATTCAGAACAGCATATGACATCTCAAGAGTGATAAGGGATGCCCAGCATTCAGAATCATGATTTAAAATTATTTTGTACTTCAAATTTTATACCCAGTCACCTTCCACTGTAGGAAGTTAATAGATAATAGTAAGAAAATTCATCTTTTAGTGCAGGAAGTTACAAAGTTATAAATAATGTCTAAATAGAAAAAATTAAGAGGCAGCAATAGAAACGTATTATTCGGAAATGTAGATGTAAACCATGAAGAACTAAAAGATGAAAGAAGTTGTATATATCTGGAGTAGATGAAGCAAAAGAATGTTTTCATTATGTCTTTGACTTTGACTTTGTTGACTATGTTCATGCATTATTTGCTTTTAAAGATTTTATTTTTAAGTACTCTCTACATCCAACACGGGGCTTGAACTCACTCACAGTCCTGAGATCAAGAGTTGCAGGCTCCACTGACTGAGCCAGCTAGGCGCTCTGTTCATGAATAATTTTAACTAAAAATTTTTAAAGGCCATTGACAAGGATATTCATTCTAGCACAGCTTATTATAGCCAAAGACCAGAAACAATCTAGTCTAAACAATCAAAATTTTAACCAACAAGGAAATGGTTAAATAAATCATGATACATCTTCCTGATGTATAGTATCTTCTCATCTGAAGCTTACAATGCTCACATAAACACAGAAAACCTCTTAAAGGGCACGCAATGTATTGCTCATAGTGGTTCTTAAAGAAAAGGATTCAGGCTCACCTGTTACTCCCTTGAATATTTAATCACCATATACCTTGATATTTTAATGCACGTATTATTTCAATTTTGAAAAACTTAGTATTAGAAAGTTCTTCACAACCAGTAGCTCCAAAGCAAGCAAACTCTTCTTGCACTGCTCATCCACAAAACTCTGTGTTCTCAGCAGGCCAGTGTCTGTAATATTTCTCAAATAATACCCAAGATCCAAAACCAAGCCCACAACTGCTCAGACGGTTCTCCCCAGCCTAGACTACACGTCCTCCCCCCAACCGCCAAAACTAAGCCCAACACATTATCCAAATATTATCCAGGATGACATAATAAAAATGACACTAAACAAAGCACAGAAATTCTTGGATTTTAGTTTCCATACCATCACTTATGCAAAATCTGTACCTTGCACCAGACATATAAAGAACACAAGGTTGACTGCAATACAATCTGTACTTACACTAAGGGTTTATAATCTAACTAGGTAATCTGATAAGCAAAGTTAGTATATGACTTAAGAGAATTACAAAATGCTCTCAAGTTCCAGAAAGACAGCATCTATTTGGAGCTCTGGAAATCAATGCTGAAAGCTAAATTATTTTGTATTTTATCTGCTTGATTCCTTATCCCCCCCAACCCCTGGTTTCCAAGTAGACTCTAGCCCTACAAACAAGAGATCTTGACTTTTATTTTTTTCTGAGCTCCCCAACACACCATTACCTCTCTAGCATGGTGCTATATGAACAGCAGAATTTTGATAAATCCTTAGTGAATGAAGCAAATGGAAGAGTACATAAAA